ATTAGTAGCTCATCAGATTTGGTTCACTTCATATCAATATGCTTCCACTGTAACACAATATACCAAAAGCAGTTTGATAGTAGTAAAGTGTACACAGATGGCACAAATAATATAAGAACAGAATATATGATACTTCACACTCTTCTCACAAAGAAACATCTGCACAGAGAGTTAACAAAAACAATAATCTACATTGCATTTCAATGTTTGACATAAGAGGAGGGTTCATAAAACAAGAATTAACTGTTAAAGGTAATACAAAGTTTTGGTATGAGGTCATGAATTTGGTTCAAGTTAACATATCGAAAGCATATGCGATTTGACAATATGCAATGATTGTTGTCGCGGATGAAATCGAGGCTAAAGTGATGAAATTGTATGAAATACACACTCACTCATGTATGGAATAGAAACAAAAGAATCAGTCATGCATGCAATGCATTCTACATAATACAATGGGTAAATTTAATGAAGTGAAAGAAACGCTTCATTATTATTCCAAGGCTATGAACTTTAGCAATGTATAATAAATGAGTGAACATACATTGTATGTGGCATGGCTACATGAATAAGTGTGCATGGATAAAACAACTTGATTGCTCAAATCTATAATTCTGACAGAAATTTTGTAAAATCCAAACAAGTACAGGAACACAGCTACACATGTAGTGTACCAGTATTTTAGTCCAGAATTGTATGTCAATGGGTTGAATTTTGACATTAAAACCACATGCCTTCTTGATAACAAAACCAAATTTGTATTGTTTTATTTTATTTTGTTTTATTTTTATTTTAAAGATAAATAATGCTTTTTAGTTTACTTAGATAAAATTTCATGGGGAAAATATTTAGTTTGTTTGATTTGATCTCAATTTGGTAATATGATTCATGGCAATATAAATGGGAAGAGGGGGGAGAGGGTATTTAAAGGTAAGTGTACTTAAAGGTAATAAATCATTAATGTGATCTCTTCCACCCATTATTAAAAATGGGAATGGTAGAATAACATCTGTCGATATATAATGAATGAATATTTCGAGGAAAAAATTGCCTGTTGATTCACTACAGTCTGTTTTGTAGGTACCTAGTTAGGCCTACTGTACTTACATGTACATGGAAGTATATTGGAAGTGATGTTGGAATTTACCAATGCAAAAGTGCTTATTAAAACAGATGGACTCAGGAGATATATGCTCAACCCCCCCCCCCCTCCAAATCCAAAACTTTGCATGTACATAAATGATCATGGAATATGCTGACCAGGTTTAACCCTGGTCAGACAACTCCCCCCCCCCCCCCCCCCCCCCCAACATTCAAAATGGTCAATGGATGCAATCGGATAATAAAGCTAGGATCTATACCAATGTTTTAAATGTGATTAAAGATGTAGATTTTATAAGTGCTATATAAATATTATGTATTGTGAATGGGTATCTTCATTCTCTTGATGTGACATACCATGCAAAGTCATTTATAAAATACATTCAAATTCTTGTATGCTTCCTTCCCATGAGTGTTCGGTGATGAAATGTTTCATTCATCTGCTCTTGTCTTTTGAACTATAATTTTCAGAACACCATTTTCATAATTAAGGTGTGGCTTTTCTTGGGTGAAGGCTTTACATAAATGAAATATATTTGTCAACTGCTACTTTTAGTATTTTTAAATGTTATGTGTTATACTACTTCCCCTATTACGTATATATTTTTCACCAAATATTATTTTGATCTTCTCGGCTATGATTTTTCCCTCATTGACAATTACAGGTTTTGTTAAAGAATTAAAATGTTTCTATAACGAAGGCTTGGTGCATGATACAAGTACAAGTTCGCCTGGTTCGTCACATTAACAAGAAAATGACCACGCTATTAAGAGTATCTTCACTTATACATCCCTTGTACATTTGCATAAGGGGTATTGTAGATCAATAGGCATGAATAAAACTCATCTTTCAGCATACATGTACCTACACTTTTTCTTGGGGATGAGGTTTCCTCTTAAGATCAGTGGTATTTTGGTTATATAGTAAAATGCAAGTTGATCGACCTTACCTTCATGGGTGTTCCCTAGTAAAACATGGATCACTTCTGCACTGGAGGGTATTTGAAAGAGTCTGCCTTAGAAGAAGCTGAAAGCCTTTTGGGAGGAATTATTTCTGGTCAGCTTTCTGGTTGACAACACACAGCTGCAGCACACATGGATATTGGCTGATATAAAACATATAATGCGAGAATGGCAGGTATGAAAATAGGAAGTAGAGTTTGCAATAGAGTTGATACAGTATTCTTTGCATGGGGTCCAAACTGTAATTAAAGGTAAAGACCAGTATTGGAAACGCCCCAATTTCAAAAAATGAAATGGAAGCTCTCATTACCAATCATGTGAAAGAATATGTTTTGACTAATACATGATGATAAAAAATTTGCTGGGAAACTGCCTACTAATTCATATATTTGGTAAATTTGTTTCTCTCATGGTCTGTGAGAGATATAGGGTAGCCCCATATACATCTTTCTGTGTATAGTGTTTGTAACTTTACGAAGAATGGGCCAAATTTCTTATCATTTTGATGATTCCAGAACCTTGCAGATGCTAGATGCTAGATGATCAACCTTTTCTGATCGATTCCACAACGTTTCTTTCACAATGCATTCGCATGACCATAACTGGTCTTTACCTTTAAAGCCTCCTTTTTTCACTGTTATTTGGCAGAGAGCCCAACTCCCCCCTTCACAAGTGTTCACATCAAATTGTTTGGTATTTTCTATTCAATTCTAATAATTGTTTACATGTGAAGAAGTACTAAAATAGAGGTACATGTACATGTATTTCCTGACTCAGTCTTATTCATACAAAATATATACCTGTACTCAATATAATTTGTACCAAGGTAATTGCATGAAGATGGAAAATGCAGGGAATGTACAACTACAAGCAAAATATTGTTACATAGTTCATCTGGATTATAGGCTGTAAATACAGACAGTTCCCTCTTTAACTTGGCTTACCTCGAAAGGATGCAGTGCGACACGGTGTGCTACGTGCATTGAACGCCCCCTTTCAAGAAAAGCCCCACCCCCCGCTTATCTTGAAAGGATGCGTTGAGAACGGAGTACCCCCTAAACGCACCTTTTTGGGATAAGCAGGAGGGGGAGGGGGGGGGGGGATTTTATCAAAAAGGGTGCGTTGACTAGTCTTCCACATCAGTCTTTTAGAATTTATTAATTTAATTCTTATAAACGCCTGATCTGCAAGAATATGTAAAACGCAGTTTTATTTAGTTTTCTATCTGTTTCAATTTAAAGGTACTGTCCCACCCATTTGCAGGCCAAAAAGTTATTCAAAAAAAATTTAAACGACATTTGAAAGATAATACTAATTTAGAACTTCCCTCAAAACGAAAGGGCTTACAAATGGCTTTTAGTGGGAATTGTAACGACCATTAGTTGTCAAATCGACTTAAGTGATTGCAATCACTGAAGTAATAGTCTGATTTTCAGTCCCTTTTAACGAATGGTTGTACATTTTATGCTGCACAAAGATTCAATCAGTTTAATTTTGGCCATTACAAGTATTGGGTTATTGAGCTCATGTACATGTACCTGTTACACTACAGCTCATTTTATGTACGTTATTACCAAAGAAAAAAAGATGTCAGTCAGCCACTCAATAGTGTCCGACAGTAAAGTCTAGAAGGTTAATGGGTTTCCTTGCATAATTTGAATACCAGGACACTGCTCATGTTTAAATTTCACAGATAGGACATACATGCCTAATTCCTGCAAAGTTCTACAGAATTTGATGATGGCTGCAAAAGGGACATAGTACATCTTTAAACAACTTCAATTTCTATTCCTTAAATTCCATTCTAAATGACTGATGAGGAAGACTAGTCAACGCACTAACCCTGTCCCTTACCCTATTTTATCATGTTATTATTAGATATATCATTCTAACTATTAAAAAGCTGTCCCCATTTTTTTTAAACTTGGGTGGCTGTCGCAAAAGGAAATCTTAATCAAATTTATTTAGAATCTTTCTTTTTGATTGTTTTCATTATTATGTTTCTTGAATCTTGCGAGTTGTTATTTATGAAATATGACGTGTTAAATTTGTACTTATTCCAATCTGTAAATACTTTATCTACTTTTAATTTATTGTGCAGGGTCTAAGGGGTAGTAGTTCGCTAACTTAAGAAGAGTAAGTGCTTAAATAAATCTGTAAATAAATGAATAATCAAATATTCAAGTGTAGAGTCTAGTGACAGTTTCATAAATTGAAACAACCCCCCCCCCCCCACTCCGGCAGCAAAGCATAGATTTAGAGAGTCAATGTTAATGCGTATTGACCTCTAGCACTAGCACTGCACTAATAATAGGCAGCATTTGCACCATGAATAGTCAATATACTTATACTACACAAATGCACACAATCATGCCGATGTGGCTGATCGGCAAGTTTGACAGTAGACTATTAACTAGTTTTTAGATCTAGATCTAGATCTGAAATATTAAATACAATATCGGTAGGCTTAAAGTGAAAAGTTAAGTTAAAAAATTTTTTAGATCTAGATCTAGATCTAGACCTAGGCTATTTATTTAGGTGTCATCAATGAATTGTCACTAAACTGTCTAAAGTACCGATTTTGAGTGAAATCAGTATTCAGTTGAGCTATGTACAGTGGTGTTTGAAATGTTGAGAATCAATAGCACAGCTTTGTATACAGCTAGCTCCTCTATGTGCCCCCCCCCCCCCCCCCCCCCCCCCTAGCTCTTTCAAACTTGAACCCCAGCTAGGCCTACATCAATAATAATTACTGGGACTAAACTGAAAATACTGCTAAAAAAACAAGCCACATCATTTTTCTAAATTTACATGACTATTCTCCATTCAAATGTTCAACATTCACAATTTATCAACTCTCCATATCTAACTTTTACATATAATGAAATAAACTTATCCTTTTTTCTCCCATAAAACTAATTTCTCACCAGTTTAGCGCGATGAATAACCGTCAGGTCAACTTGAAAACTGTGTGACGATCTCGTTTAGTTTTCTGTCTGTAGCATCACAAATTGTAAGTTTCATTATATTTTTGTTTAATCGTGAAAAGATTTAGAGGGAATGTGTCATTAATATATTTAGTGTTATATTAATATTCATCCAGTAAATTCATAAATTCAATGTATCTTTCCAGTTTCCAGTAAAATTGAACGAAACTGAAGAATCTAGATTTGTATCAAGTCCCATGTACCTATTTGTGTGTGTGTGATTTAGCCTGAACGATCATTCATTTTCAGATAGATCTAGTCTAGTCTACGTTTCATTTCAGCATAAAAATAACTATAGTCTAGCCCTAGGCCTACATTTGATTTGGTAATATTTGCAATTGCTATTTATGGATTTACATTTGTCTATTCATGCTATGTACTAATATATTCCTGCTGGTGTGGTAAATCTTGATTTAGATCTAGGTCTAGACCTAGACTCTAGACCTTGTCAATCTATAATAATTTTTTTTAAATTATGAAACAATAGATCTATGTCTTGTATATTTTGTTTTCTGTATTATTTCTGCATGTGAAATGTGAAATCAATAAACTCAAACTCAATCTCAAAATAAATGAAAATGATGAATAAGATCGTCTTGTGAATAAATATTTTAAAGTATAAATGCATCCTATTCCTAGCATGCATAGTCTAGACACTTGTATTAGACCCTAGAAATTGTAAAAATGAACTAAATTACAAATAATTATATTAATGTTATTAGCAAATTAACATTTGCTTTGTTTCAATATAAAACCGAAAACGTTTCTAAAATAAAAAATATTGATATTTTAAATTTTCAATCAATTTGCTGAATTTCCTTTCTCAAAAACAGTGGAGGACAGATGATGTCATTTTACTTTTAGAAACTTTTTAACAAAAATTGCAGAACTATAAGTCTATAAGACTTTAAAATATATTAAAATATTTTAATTGAAAAGAAAGTAAGGTAAATATCATGTGATAACATAGTAAACAATTGATTTTTATATTTTGCAGAGAGCCATGAGTACCACACGTGGTCTTATTCTGTCAGTATGTGCTGGGGTGTGTGCTGCCACCGCATCACTATGTGCCAAATTGGCAATGTCAGGAGAGGAGGTTGCAGAATTCTGTAGTTATCTTCATCAGATCTTACGGTCAGATCTTATACCACCATGTTCTGTGGTAAGTATCAATAGCCAAAAGGAATCACTAAAATTTACATCTAGCAAGGATTCAATATAATTTTTTTTTTTACAAAGAGGATACTTGCACAAATTACAGAATATGTTCAGGATAAAAAATGGACATCTTTATCATTTTATTAAATGGGATGGTTCTTGAAAAAAAAATTCTATGCGCATTATTATCAACTGCAAATGTTATCGAAAAATCAAATACTGTACTTTTTGGTTGAGAATATGTTTGATACACTGATTACTGATAATAGATATATGTTGATTCACTAGTAGATGAATACAGACATTTACATCTTTTCCTATGGTCCTTAGTGTCAATTAACTCTGATATGACCACTGGATATGACAATGGAAATTTCTATAATGAATGCAATTTCATGATGTGAAATATGAATACAAAAATCATTTTGCATTTTGAACTACCCAGTAATTGATACGTCTTCAAACAAAAATAATTCTCAAAAGTTGCAGGAAAAAACACACACAAGTGGCAGATATTGTAAAAGAGACTACCATAGAATGAAGAGCGTAATTTTTTTTCCCCCTTCCATCTCACATTCTTTTCCAGATTGCCATTGCAATGAGGATTGGAGTGTTTTCTCTCATTTTTATCTTCAATGGTCTCATGTGGACCCTGTTTACAAAGTCCATGCAGCTCTGTCCATCATCATTACATGCCACTATGACAAACAGCTCATCAAACCTCATATTCAGTGTAAGTAAAAGGAAATTAACCTTAGTGTTAATTATCGGCTCAAAAGTTTTGTGTATGGTAATACCATTTAAGGTTATTTAAGTGTTTAAAGTCAACTTTCCATTATTGAACCATAGATTCACCTACTTTCCAGTTTATTGTCAATATAAAATGAAAGATGTTATGTAGTAGTACATTGTGTGGAAATCCCTTTAAATAATAATAATAATAATATTTAATTGTTATATAGCGCTTAATACATATGTCTCTATTAAAGCGCTTTACAAATTGACAAAACCATGCAGTTATACCAGTGCCCCCCCCCCACCTTTCCCATTTGTCCTCCCCCTCCCCCTTCCCTCTGCCCTTACCATACACGAGCCTTGCCACTGCCTGTTACCACAAATATAATTCACATACGACGTCTCATCATTGTGAATAAAATTAGTAACTCTGAATTTCTCCTACAGAGCCCTACTCTTATGTGGGAGGACAACTTCAACTTTGTCATCCTATATCCAACCTATAACAGGTCTCTGTTTTTCTCTCTTCCCTTGTAGGGCTTGATGGGTCAGCTTCTCTTTGGCGAGACGCTCTCATTGAAGTGGTGGTTCGGTGTCTCGCTCATCATCGTAGGATTATTCTTTATCAACAGAGGGCAGCAGACCAGTGATGACAGCACCTCTCAAGCCCAATCTTTTCCGAAAGAGGATAAAAAAGATAGATAACGCTGGAATATTCATAAGGAAGCATGGAAATGAGATATTTTCTCTCTCCACCTTTTCTCCAGGAAGAAACAACATATGTGACACTTTACCCAATAATATTTTTGTTGGGGTGTAATAGAAAGTGCAGTGACCTGAGGCAGTTGTGAATCGATCTAAATGATCACCTCTGTACAATTACTCTGGGCTTGATTCTGAACCACATACTTTGAATAGTGACATTAAGGTCTGCCCTCAGAGTCAAATTTTTATCTATGTGGACGAGTGTTCCCTACTTCAAGGCAAGACCGACTAATCTGTGATGTAGCGCACCGTTTTGGCAGGCCTGGTTTTGGAGTGTCTATATGTACTCCTGTTGCCTGAACCAAACTATCAGCAGTAGTATCCTTGGGGAAGAGAGATTCTCAAGTTTACTTTAAAGGTAAAACAACGTTTTGGTATGGGGGTCATGAATATGGTTCAAATGAACATATTGGAAGCATATGCGATCCTACAATATTCAGCGATTGCTGTCGCGGTTGAAATTGAGTCAGAAGTTATGAAATTGTAAATAATAAACTCTTTATGTTGTATAGCTCCCTCTCAAGACCGATATTACTTTAGCCTTAAAACAATGTTTCATGACTATATTATATATCACAACTGCATATTCTGAGATTTTCAAGGTCGCAGGTACCATCGAGTAGTCTTAGGTACTATTTGAAATATTTGAAATTTATTGGGAGCACCGGTAAATTTTTATATTCAGTTTCTCGAAAGCAGAAGTATTTTAGGGGCTAGATTTTCTAGTGCTTATAAAACATGCACAGGGGCATCCAAATATATTAACATTTTAAAGAATTACTATCCATCCAATTTTCAAAATTTCCTAAAACTTTGCATTACTGTTAATGTAGCATCGGTGATTTCAGAATGGTCAAGGGTTAAGTGCAATAATCAATGACTAGCTGCATGTATGTGGTGTGTGGAATTGGGCTGTTGATTTGGTATTAAAAGCAAATGGCAGAACAAGCAGCATCTTATTTGTTTTCCCCTCCATTTTTAGTGTGATCATTCCATTCCTGCCAGTTTCTTTGGAGTATCCCATCTACAAGAATAGTGTTTTCTACAAAATTGTGAATATATAAATATGAAATATTTTCATAATGTGTAATAATGTCAAAATAAATAATAATTTTCTTTAATATCGAATAACCCAGCCATAGACTTTTGTGCATGTTTGCATTCTGTGTGTGATTTGATGTGATATGGTTCAGGTTACCGTTCAACAATGTCTACATAGGCTTACCGGTACATGAACTTCACATTAAACATAATACTAAACTTAAGAATAACTGTGTAATAATAAAATCTCAATTTTATTAAACTCCTGATCCTGAAATGTGCAAAAGTTAATATATAAGCAATTAATCATCATCTTCCGATACCCAAATATCCTCAAAGAATTAGTGCAAATATGACTAAGAACCCTCATCCTTGTTGATAAAAAAAACTTTTACTGTGTATGCATGTATAAATTTAACTCTCCATAACCCAATCCATCGCACAAGTCGATGTTTTCCCGAAGTCCAATCAATTAAAAAATATTTAAAAAATGAAAAAGAAAAATGAAAAACAAAGTGTTATTTACACTTCCAAGTCAAATTTTGCATTATTTGAACAAATTTGTGTGGCCCTGACAGATTCAATGTTTTAATATAAATGCAGAGTTAACTGTATTTTACACATTACATAACATTTTGTAGGACTACAATGAATATTCAATACAGGCCTACCGTAATCAGTTTTTTCTGGTTAAAAAAGGGTAAATGTAACAAATATGTACTAAGAAAATAATAGTAATAAGCACTTGGCATTAAAACTGGTCTGAAGCTATACTAGATGAATACAATTAAGGATTGCATTTGAAAACATAAATTTAGACATTCTTCTTCCTTCAAAGTTGGACAAAGTAAGAACCAAATCCCATAGAAGAATGTCTTCTGTATTACAAATATTTCATAAGAACAATTGCCTGCTAATCAAAATGTCTTACAAATGGAAGAATATACTATCTTTGACTTTTATGCCAAATTTACATATTTTTTTTACAAACATTGTGGTTATAATTATATCACTTCAATGACAATCCGACTACAATTTTTGGAGTTCATCTTGTCACAGCAAAATTACTAAAGATCAACATTTAGAAAGGATTATATATACTGGTATTGCTTATATATCTAGTTTATGAAGAAAACCCAAAACATGACAGATTGGTACATGTTCCAGTTTTAAATCTTCATATTTCTTGACCCTACAGCATTATATGGGTCAAAGAATTCTTGACCTTTTTATTTAGTGGCAAAAAAAAGAAAGAAGAGAATTTCATTATTTCACTAGGTGCAGCATATACTAAACAAATGAAATCCTTTTTGTCTTTATTGTGAACTCTTCTGTAAACGAATAGTTGCCTGCAAGGTCATTCTTTAAATGAATAGGTGTCAGTTGCCCGGAAGATCATTATTGCTATCAATAATACATAGCTGCTGGAATGAGCGAATTTATAATGGCAACTGACACAAATGTGCCACAACAGGCATTTACAAAATGTAAACATCTGAATCACTGGGAAAAAGGCAAAATATCAATAAAATACATGCCTAGATAATCATAAGAGAAGTCTCTGAAAACAAAGTCAAGGCCGCTATCCTGTCAAGCTTATAATGTATTTGCAGTATAATTAATTATTTAGAGACTTTATTGTGCTAATACACAAAATACAAACACTGCAATAGTACATGACGCCTGATAATCAACATATTCTTGAAATGCAAAATGAAATCCTGATTGACAAAAGAGACCCTCGGAGGTAAACTGAAGCACAAGCTGCAAAAAATACATATATAGTACATGTTCCTTTGAGGTATACTAATTAACACAGAAATAATTCTAACACGAGGAAATAAATCCTAATGAAATACATATAAAGTGTGCAGCGTTGGGTTTAGAATATAGGATTGTTCAAGAGCTCAACACATAAAAACTCTACAAAGTCATAATAAAAAACCTATCACTGACTGAGCCAGAATTCAAAACACTGGAAATGCATGTTAATACAAGTACATTGAAACAAATTGGCCTTCACTGGTCCACATAGTGTGCTTGGTGCAATTAACTCTACTTGCGTCAACTAAATCTGGAACTGAATAACAATCGTACTTGCCTGGTCAGGAAAGTAGAGCATATTGACATTTTAAAGTATACCGATCACCTAAAATAATAATTTGTGTACAGCTAAATGTTTAAAATCAACCCAACGGAACTTCACCTGAGAGTCTATAGGTGAATGGATATTAAAGGAGTATGAATAAAATAAGAATAACATAAAATAGCGTACACGAAACCCCAAGTCAGACTTGGGGGCCCTATTTTATGTGAACGTGTGGGCACGTCGAGTGATCTACTCATGGATGTGTCACGGTATAGTGGTTCATTCACTTGACTCTTAATCCTAGGGTTGAGGAATCAAATCCCAGCCAGGCATTAACGTCTATTGACAAGACATTAATCCACATTTGCATCTCTACACCCAGGTGTAAATGGGTACCTGGCAATGGCAAGGCCCTCCGGAAGAACAACACTTACGGTAAGCTGATGAGGCATCCCTGGGTAAACCTAATCATTATTATTAATATTACACGACAACTATATATGTAACATGGCAAGACCATTTTTGTTTGTTTATCATTTTGTGGTCAATACCATAAGCTTGTAGTCTGGTACTAAACGCAATAATGAACATAAATTGACTTCAAAGCTGATTTTCACTTGATATTTCGGTAGGTTGATGACCTTCATATATATATACATATATATATATATATATATATATATATATATATATCAAATAAATACAATTATCAAGTAAGAAATAATATGTGATTTGCAGTATTGTTCAATTAATGTCATCAAATACACATCAGGAGATGCCAATTTCCACCAGAAAATCGCAGCATTCCTATTGCTTACTATTAGTACTTCCCAAATAAATCAATTTGAATGGAAAAGAAGATATTAACCTTCAAAATAGCAGCATTAAAAAGAGAATTTGTAAGACTAGGTAGCTCTGCACAAGGAGCAAATTACAACATGGGAGAAAATACTTCGGACTTGACAAATATGGTGTTCAGTTAACATTAAGAGTATATCAATCTGACACACAGCTTCAGGATATGCAAGTACTTACTACTTATAGTACCTAGCTTAACTAGACACAATGATCTGCGTAAAACAGCATAAAGAGCTAGAAGAATGCTTAATTCATTGCCAACATTACTTTTATGATTGCATATGCAGAGAGCCACAAAGACAATACATTTTATACTTTTAACAGAGTTAATGCCCTTCTGGCTCTCTACAAATAACTGCCAATTAACATATTTAATTTCCATGACTTGACAGAAAATTTATAGCTAGAATTGTAAGATAATTTGTAGGTAAGTAAAAAAGAAAACAATTTGAATTTAAAAATTTCCTCCCTTTGAGGGATATCATAAAATGAATGAACACATAAATACCTTAAACTCCCACAAATGTAATCAATACCTCAGACAAAATTGTTAAAACCTTGAAATTGCTTGCATACACTGGAATACAAAAATGCTAGAAACCATTAGTACCAAAACTGATAAAACAAGGCAATATAAAACTGTAATAAATATCTGCACCATCCACTACAAGTATATCATTTTCATGACAAAGACACACTCATTGTCATTGAGTGGTCAACTCAAAGCATAATAGGGAAGCAATGACACAGTTTGCTCATCACTCATCAGATTTATACAATGGAAGACTCAAATTCAAACAATTATTTCAGATTAAATTTGCTCATAGGGGTATCTTGGATACTAGTACCTTTTAAAAGCAGGCAAACATACAAAAACTGGATACAATTACTTGTGTGTGAAGAACAACAATTTTCTTGTGACTTTGATTTTTAGTTGCCTCACTGTGAGTTGAATGATGACCCCCCCCCCCTCCCATTGTTCAATGGTTCCTTTACAATATGTATCACCCAAAAGTTCAGATAAGTTATATTGTTTTTATAGAAATTACTATATTAGTGAATATCTGGACCATATATACATAAATATCAATTCAACTCTGTCCTAAACTGGAAACAAAATGTTTTTGTTTTTTTTGTTCACAGAAGCTCTATCTCTCTCTCTCTTAACAATAAATAAAATAGAAAGATTCCATTGCAATACACAAGATACCAAAGATTCCTAAGCCAGATTTCACCACACAGCCAATCCTGATAATAGTAATACATTTCACGCCATCTATGTACTGTGTAGTAATATCAGTACTCAATATGAACATGACTGACAAAGAGAGCGGACAAAATATACAGTTCCTCAGGTAGGCAAAGGAACATCCCTTCACTGATATTATGTAAAAATGTGTAGAACAGGTGAATATATGCATGTGACACCTGTTCTACACATTTTTACATAATAGCAGTGAAGGGATGTTCCTTTATCTACCTGAGGAACTGTATATTTTGTCCGCTCTCTTTGTCAGTCATGTTCATAGTGACTATACATACAAATTATAGCCTATACATATGCATGATGTACATAGATCTTACCTGAAAATAGTTTTAAAAGAAATAGTACTAATTTTCTAAATATATGAGGTGCATGTTGGTTCAAGTGAAAAGTAAGAAGGAAGGGTGTAGCCTGGAATTCTCAACAGATAGAGAAGGGGAGGGGGCACAACCTTAAACTGATTTTATTTTTTATATTTTTAATCAGAACATATGGTCAGAAATAGGCTGCAAACCTGCAAATTGAATCCCTTTTACTAGAAACAAAAATGAAAGAAAGAAGGATGGGGTGCATGACCTCCCTTGCCCCCCCCCCCCCCCACCTCTCCCAAGCTATGCTCATGGCCGAGTACTGAATAACATTTTATTAAATCATTCCTTTGGTTGAGTAGATATTTAAACACAACAAAATAAACCACACACCAAATTTTTCACCTACCTTTGAACAAAAGTACATGTTGTATATTATATCACCTTTTTACAGCATTGTGACCAAACTATTTGACCCAAGGCCAAAAATTAACACAAATAAAATGCAAGATTGTAAGAATATAATCTATTATTGCACAAAAGGTGTTCTTGTAGACCTGTCACTATTTAGCACCCGAGTATAGCATAAATATACAAATTAACAAAATGAAAAATGTAGACTAACTGTCAGACAGAGTCTTTGAAACATATATCTGAATTGGAAGTGCATTCTTATTCAACTGCATTTTTGCACCAATACTTTCAATTGTAGCAAGTGAAAATCAACATTTTCAAAACCTAAGTTGCAGTATAAATAAAGGCAAAAATGGGTTTCAAATAATGTTAATATAAACTTCATATAGATATTCTGACACCATTTTCAACTTTCTTTCATCAATGTGCAAAAATCAACCAAAAAAAAGTGAAAGAAAATATGAGATGTAAAGTTCAGAGGTCAATTCACGGTCAAAGGTTATCTTCTTCTTCCGTGTATTCTTCATTGCCTAGCTGATGGTAGACATGTTTCCTTGGGACGCTATAGCCATTGTCACATGACAAGGTGGCGCACTTGCAGGAGCAGCGAAAACACAAGCAGATGAAATTGCAGAGGATGCTGACAATTGCCACGGCAACTGCTATGATGAGAAGCACCGTGAGTTGGTCCTCTAAGAGAGGTTTGTCAGGAACCAGTCCTTCATCTTGGATGATTCTGCTGGCAAGGCACTCCCCAACTGAAGTTAAAAAACGAATAAAATGTCCATGTACATACAAATGTAATCAGGGCTCAAATTAATTTTTTGTCCACGGGGGCTCTTCCCCCGAAAAAAAGAGCCCCCCTGAGCCTTCTCACGGGGGCTCTTTTATTACTGGCGGGGGCTCTTTTTTATACAAATATCCATTGAATTGGTACCTATGATACTCCTCAATTATTTGCTATTTCATCATTATCATTTCAATCAGCATTTTCCCTCTTACAAATTTACAAGCTACATAGCTGTTACTGGCCTGTGTATATAATATATACGCATACAACACTGATCTTTATGATGTCTTTAACGTGACATATCTTCTTCTCCCCTTGCAAACGAAAAAGAAAACATGGTCATTAAAAGGGATTAAGCGACAAATAATGATTGTGATTCAAATTGATGCGAATATTTCTTTGAATAAGCACTGCTATTCACCCGAATCTTCTTTGTAAAAACAACTTTTACAAATCTCAGCCATGCTTACTGAGTTGAGACGTTCCATTCAATTTAAAATACCCATTACATAATACACTTCTCCTAATCTCAAAGTGATCTTACAGCACAGTGGCAGAATTGCATGGCTGAGATTTGTAAAAGTTGTTTTTACAAAGAAGATTCTGGTGAAAAGCAATGCTTATTCAAAAAAATCCTTGCATCAATTTGAATCACAATGATTATTTGTCGCATGGTCCTTTTATTAAATAACCTTGTTTTCTGTTTTGTTTGCAGAGGGAGAAGAAGCTATGTCACTTTAAGAAATCATAAAGATCAGTTGTATTATGCGTATATACATATGATACCAGAACAAATGTTGATTATCAGAATGTCATTTTGGAATACCTCTATACAAATACCACATTGTCTTCAGCCCGTATCAGTATTAGTATGATCCAATATAAAGCTATTATTCTTTATTTAATTCAGTATAATGCTTTTCCTCAAAAATAGTTTTGCTATTTTTTAGGGTTGAGACGCTAAGAAATGGTTTCAAATGTACATTACATGAACCCTGAACCATTGCAAGATGATGGTGGTTCTCTCTCTCTCTCTCTCTCTTTTTCTTTATTTTAATCATGCATTATCAACTACATATAAAGCAGCAACCAAAAACTTAGGGTTATCTGAGATAGGTGAAAGTAAGAGTTAAAAAGAAAGTCATGCTAAAACGGCGCTTCACTTCCCCCTGCCCCCTGAAAAAAATAAAATAGATTAGTAGTCCTCCTCTCCAGAATCCCCCTCCCCCCCACTTTAATATCACATTTTCACTTGGCAGCCCAAGGGGGCCGGGGGGGGGGGGGGGGGGGGGGGGGGGGGTGGGAGGAACCCCCTACCCCCCCCCCCCCCCGCCGTAGATCTGCCCATGTTACCATATCATTCCACGCAGGGGCGGCGATCCCGGGGGGGGGGGGGGGGGGACAGGGGGGGGGGGACACGTCCCCCCCTCAAATTTGAAAAAGTGCAAAACAAATTGTATAGCATATAATATGTGATCTTATACATTGACTCAATGCTACATGCTATACACACATACACACAGTTAATGTACACTGTGGTGTATGGGCTCTTCTATACACAATATAATCAGGCATGCTGGATTGTAACCTAACTCTGATGTTTCTCTATGTGTCTTCATTTGAGTACTAACCATACAGCTAAACAACCCCACATTATATAGCATATACTGAATAATGACTGCAACACACCTTTAGGCTCTGGAAGGCCCAAGAGTGCAGCGTTTAGACTAATAAAATTGCAAAAAAAATCTCGCTCGGTCGCTACGCTCCCTCGCATAACATCCTCGTAAAAAAAATTCGCATTTCGTCCCCCCCGGTCATTAACAGAAATCGCCGCCCCTGATTCCACGACATTTTGGTCTTCCTCTTCTCCTCAAAAGGGACTTTTAGATTTGCGTGGACGTGGACGTGTTACGTCCTTTTAAGGCACTGGCAATCACATGTGACGTCCTTTTAAGCACTGGCAGTGACCTTAAAAGGAGGTCACACGTTGCAGTCCACGTTCTCATCGTGCAAATCTAAAAGTCCCTAATATTGATTTACTGGTCGAGGTTCATTATTTGCTGACAACGAAAAACTTCTCCAGGCCATGACCATTTTTATGCCCTTGCTCGATCGCCTCCAGCTCCAGCAGACATGGCGCGGCAGCGTGCACACGCACCGCTACTAACGGCGCAGTAGGCCTATAACCACTGCTGAAGGCGGCACTGCACTGCGAGCTGAATCGGTAATAATAGGCCTACTCATAAAACGAGAAATCTTGCACGCTAATCTTAGTTCCATTTCATTGGTTTAAGGTTTGAAAATTGAAACTCAATATTGTGTTAAAGTTATAACAGAAAAGATTATCTTTATTTTATAATTCCACCGGGGCGATTTTTAATTTTGCAATCGCCCCCGTGAGCAACCTGACGGGGGCGATTTTGTAGCTTACGGGGGCGAATCGCCCACCGCCCCCGTGTATTTTGAGCGCTGAATGTAATACTACACTACCACTGTGCCCGTATTGCTACATTCATGCTAATCCCATACGCTTACTATCATACTCTTGAATTATGTAAACCACAGTAACCTACATTGCAGAGGGTTTCCTAGCATGAAAAGTTGCAAAAACATTGTCAAACCAGCACTGTGCATCCAGTGCTTGACAAATTTTTGGATACACTGCAAACAGTGTGCCTTGGGTGTGATTCTTACGTCACAATAGAGTGTGTGTTTTCTCATAAGCGTAATAGATGCGTAATCAAAATAAAAATTCGCTCTACATTATTGCCCGCTAGTTTAACACACATTTTGCCATTGACTTTTCAGATCGGGCAATAATATTTGTTCATTGGTTTACTGTATAATATTATTGACTGGCAAATTACACACAAAATCCCATTTACTTTTCTGAGCGGTCAATAATATTTTATTTCGCCTGTAGTTTTGTTGGCTTATCCATTAAACCTTGAGGGCAATAACATTTAAAAATTGCCCAGCTCAGATGTCTGATACGGTTAATAATCTCAAATAGCCATATAATTTAAAGTGGTTGGGTTATATACTTTTTAACAAGTTTGAAATACAGGCTGAATTTTGCCAAACAGCAGATGTTTCTTGCCAAACTCCTTTTGCGCAAACCAGAAAAGGTATAAACAAATCGGATAACTACCTCCCAGCTGCCCACATATTGGTGATTTAACACCTCGGTTGCTGTCTCCGCCTCTTTGCATGGTCACTTGTTTGCCAATCTTACGTTTTTGCACAACATAATATGTACCAAGTGAGGGAAGGATTGCTTTGTGCAACACTATGGCTTTGCATTTGCAATATTACCCATTTCCAGTCTAGATTCGCTCCATGACAACCCTTTTAACTGTATAGATTAGTCTGGCTCTGGAAACAGTCAAATAATCTTGAAACCTTTGGTCTATCCATCACATGATAGGCCTACACAAGGAGATAATTTGTATGGCATGTATTAAAGAGTTAAAGGGATCGTTTAACAATGTTAAATCTGAGATGCACGGCCCTATGTGTAATCAGTGTCTGTGATATGGTGTTATATTGAAGCCCTTAAAAAATTGCGCTTCAAATGATCAAGAAATGCCTCAAAAAATGAAACCTTGAGTGACCGGCTTTACCATACTCGTTTTCCCCAATAGATTGTAGTGTTATGAAAACCATTTGGCAAACGCAAAATTTGATTTCGATTTTCAATCATAAATATCTTGATAATCAGACAGGCGATTGGGTTGTAAAAGTCATGGGGTTCCTGACTGACCTAAAGGTTTATAATTAACATTGCAGCATGAGCTAAATCAAGGATTTTTTTAAAGGATCTAAGACAAAGTTACCGGATCCCTTTAACAGCCCCCTAAGCATCCCTGTTTGACTATCCTGTTTCATAATCTTTCATCAAATACAAACAACATGTACGTAACCATACCTTTGAGAATACTTCCATAGTAGGAGTCATGTGTGAGATCATGCAGGAGCCCGTTATGTGATGACAAGGACACAGACCATTGCTGCACTCACATTCCTCATCACACCCTGGTCCATAATATCCAATGGCACAAACTGGCAAGGAAAACAAGTTCAGCAATTTATTTTGTCATCCAGTTTGCAATCTTTAGTGATTTTAAACTAATCAGAATTTTGATCCAGACACCTAGGTTTTATACATTGTACGTGATCACAAGGAGCAAAAAGTCGTTTTTAGTTCAGCTTCCTTTTTACAATAAATATCTTGATACAAATAATGTCATTTGCTGAGCCCTATAATGGACAAACTGGTGAAACAAAATTTTAAAAAGGTTTTATGAGAATACACTTTGTATTAAAGGTTAACAGACCGGTTCTTTTGCTATAAAATAAACAAACATACAAATTAAAACAGCAACAACAACAAAAATGGGATGCATACACAATCATATTTTCTGATATTTTGCTTTGTTGCTACAACACTACAGAAGCCACTTGGTTTACAAAAAACTTACTATCCTGGCAGTATTTGCCAGTGTATCCGGGAAGACAAGCACATTCTCCACTGACCGGATCACATGACCATCCATGAAGGCAGTCACAATGATAGCTACAGTCCTGGCCATACCAACCACTGGGGCAAGTCCTTGTGCAATCAGGGGGCAAGTAGCCAACATCACAAATGCATCCATCTGTGGTATGATAAAGAATTCTGAAAGTTGAATTCAAAGAAGAACACCCTAAAAACTAGTTACTTAAAAAAATGGAAGAAAAAAAAAGTAAACTGAATAAACTTGTCAAGAAGAAATACATATTCATCTTGCAAATATTGTTTCGAAGAAACAAATTATCTGGTAACCCAATCATATCTTTTGGACTGTTAGACTGCCATTTCCCCAACTACCAGTAGTCTTCACTCAGAACATAAAACAAAGTTGATTGTGTCATCAGAAAATTATTGTATTTAACTCTACAAATTCAATGAATCTCTTGAAAGAAAAATGTGATTTCATATAAACATGCAACTATTCAATTGTTTTGTTCATGAATTTAATCGATTTACATATTTTTTTCAAGAAAATGTTTTCTACCATTTACAAGATAATTTTTGTTTACAAAGTTTGCTATCCATAGGTTGTGGACAGAAACTTTATCCTTTTCTAAACAGAAAAAATCCTGTGTTGACCAAAATTAGACATACTTCCATGGCAAATGCCTTTCCCGCTGCAGTTATGATCTCCACATTGTAGCTGGTCACATGACAGCCCATGCCAGTTGGCATGGCAACTGCACTCTCCCTGGATGCAGTCACCATGGTTATTACAGTCCCTGGGATCGCATCTCGGCTCATGGACACAGACGATGGTGGATACTTGCCTGGGACATCGGAAGGCGGAGTCTCGGCTGTATAAGAGAGTTACCGTAATATGCAGTGTTATGTATTTCAAAGCTATAATTTATGATACCTTAAATATTGGCATCCATAAACAACCTACATTATACCTTTGTGTGTATTAGAGACAGACAAATCTGACACCTATAATACAGTTACTCTGAAAACATGATCGACTTTAAAAGAAATTCAGGATAGCTACCAGGTATGTAAAAACTGGGATTGGTAATACATGTACAGTGCCATAGGTTTAAATTATAATGCCGAGACGTGACAGTGGGCACTTGTGTGTATAATTGGGTTTTGACAGACATGTCTCAATTAGATATGATTATTTACGTCTGGGGACCGACCTCTAATGTCACATTCCGAAAGACATGACTTAGTTTCGAACCGGGGTCTGCCAGAGCAAGTTTGTAGGCAAAGACAAAGATTTGACCAAGTGAAGGTACTCCTAGACCAACTTATATTACTCTTTCTTGATTCAGTGGCAAGTAGTTCCTTCATTTTTGTTTGGGGGGGGGGGGGGTTGGGTGGGGTTGAGCGTTGACATGATACTTCATGAATCTTTAGGGGCTATGCAGAATTCCATTGTAATATAAATTTTATATACATTTTAGATAACCCAAAATAATTACAGTAACTACAAAAAAAGTGACAGTAATAAGCAGGGGACATGACAAATTGAACAAACAAAAGGGGCCTGTTAACACCAATTATACCACAGAAAAGGCATTGAAAACAAGACTAAATCGCACACATTTGTGAGCTTATTCATTACTGAAGGCCCTATGTTATATACAACTTCTTATCAATGATAAATGCTAAAATTCTATGATAGATTTGCTCCCGGCCAAATGAATGCAATGACTTTAGTAGATGATAACAGTTAAGGTACCGTAACTTGTTATTCATAACAGTTTTCTGAAAAACGGCCCAGGAATGATTGGAAATGAAAAACAAAGCAACTCACCAATGATCTGATGGATTATTGGCAATCGTTCCGTTGATCACATAAGTAGCTGATCCCCCTCCATCAAGATTTATGGCATTTTTTACTCCGTGAGAGAGAAGCCATGATGCAAAAGATGACATTGAGACCCTGAAGATTCAATCATAAATCGAGTTTAGAAATTTGGTTGTTAAACTAGATGGGATATAACAAGCTTTTTTGGTGAAATTATTAGATGAAAAAAGGTACAAAAGAAGTTGTAAAGCAACACTTTCCCTGCAATGATAGGGATACCAGACCGAACAAAAAATATGAATTTCCTTAACAGCCATAAATCAGTCAGTTTGGAAAAGGAGTGCTTTTGGATTTGCATTGGGAGTGAGGTATAACCTAGGGATGTGAATAATCTCAGTATCTGATAAGTCCTCAACTCAATTACAACATAACCATCACCTGACTGTCCTTATCTTTATCAATCATCATTATTCTAGATCCACTTGGAAAATAAAATACAATGCTTTAAAATAACCTCAAGGAAACAAACTGTTGATAATTAAAGAAATGGAGCAATAGGGATTAAAAGGAGTTCTGGGCATCATTTCACAAATTTAAGTACAAGTTTGCCCACATTTTATTGAAACACATAATGTAGTAATAAAATTAACATACGCTTCAATTGGATGTCAGCTTACATGAATCTATAACATTTTTGTGAAGCAATGTCCAGATTGATGGTTGAGATGGATAAAGAAGTGAACCCTACATTCTTCTGAAAATGAAATTTGCAAGCCTTACCCCCTGACCTTGCTCTGCCCATCTATGGCTGCAATGACTAGGTTTCCCTCATCATCACTGCCTACAGCTACTCTGGCTGATAACATGTCAAAGAATGCATCAACGGTACCTGCAAAATGGAAGATATCATTCATTCTCACTGCAGGGGTGGTATTCTGAAAGTATGTCATGATTTATGATGAAAAATCAAAATTAAGACTTGCCATTGTTTTAATGTCTGCACAAAGCTGGCTGTGTTTGCCTGAAGTTTCTATGTAAGCACCATTGATAAGTTTTAATTCCTCTTAAACTTAAGTTTGTTACGATCATTCACATCATGTTACCTCACATTAACCCTTACTGTACTGGGCTATTTTGAGCACCCACTGACTGGGGGGGGCCTGGGAGGCCCCCCCCCCCCCCCATGATCTCGGCCGTCGATTGTCCGATGAACACAAAAATTTGCATGTTTGTAGATATTTACGTAAGGAACAAGATGGTATAATTAGTTTTTTCCGAATATGCAAATTTTTGTCGTTAGCCTAATTAATTATGCAAAATGCACTAATTTTATGCATTTTACCGAAAATGTGTCAAACTCCACTTTTTGAATGTTGAAACTCATTATTCATATGAAACTTCTTTTCTAACACAAAAAAGTTATTTTAATGTAATTAATAATGATAATTTATGCAAATTTTGATGCAATTTTCATTTTTTTTTTTTTTTTTGATGACATGCGCATACTAATTGTTATGTAACGCCTTACAGGTATATCCGAAAATGGTATCAAAATGTGCGTAAGACTTGAGGGGAAAAAGTCATGAAACGACAATTCAAAATTCCAAGCGGTTGCGGCGCAATCTCCGAAAATGTCGAGGGGGAGGCCTCCCAGGCCCCCCCCCCCCCCCCCCCCCAGTACAGTAAGGGTTAAAGATACCAGTTTTCAGAAAATGGCCTCAGGTTGAACGCCACTTGGATTAGAAAAAGAATTGCACGGTTGACTTTGCACAAACAAAGGAATGGAGAAATGACATGAAACAGTGATGTAATTCATTTGTTCCAGTAACAATTGCTCCAGGCTTTATTTCATCAAAAGTATAAGGGGTTAGGGTTGATAATGGGTTTGAGGTTAGAGTGTTGGATCCGGGTAAAAGATAGGAATTTGGTTGGTGAGGGAAACTGATTGTCAAGCAATAGTTGCAGGAGCATGCCATAAAATACTGATAAAATACTCTCTTGGCTTTATGAGCAGTGCTAAAGATAAAGTTGGTCAGGTGAAATATGATTAGTAAAAAATGCTTAGATTCTCTTGTCTATTACATAAAAAATTGCACTACCAAATCTCACATTCTTTCTTTTTGTCTTGACACACTGATAACTCACGTCTTACTTATTTTATTATTTTTTTTTGGGGGGGGGGGGGGGGGGGGGGAGGCGGGGACAATGGTACAAATTTATTTCAAAATATCAAGAAAAGATAAAAAAAGCGACAGAAAACAATTTGTTGCTTTGCCCTTTCCATTCCAATACAATGATCTTCATCTACTAGCGATCAAAATATACAGGGGCTTGGGGCAATTTGCCCCCATGGGGCTTCAGAAATAGGCAAATCCAAGGTAACATTGCCAAGTAGTCTGGAGATCTGAATATACTTTAACAACAAATGTATCATTGGTTTACTTCAGGTTTGGTATAATCCAAGCTAGTAGGGCTCTTCACTTGAGACAATCATCGGATATACTAAAAATATTCAGTATCACATCAAATATCTAGGACTTGCCCACACACAAGACTTTGACCCATACCCCTCTACGAAGCATCTGCTCTAGTTGAGATGGTTAAAATGGTTCTTTTGAAAACATTTGCTGTTCCAAATTTTGAAAATATCATAAGAAAAGAATATGTCTTAAGATAAATGATTGTGACTCAAGCATACATTCACATTCAAAGGTCAATTTATCTAGCTCAAAATATTCCCTCCAAAATACAATCTCTATGGGAAGGAACAATTTTGGTGCACCAAAAATTTGACCTACAGTGTATTAACATACGCTATTTGCTGTGACATTACTATCTCTACTATGCTAGCTATGGTTATCACGTACCTGACTCCTCTACATCTCCGCATTCTGCTTTCCTGCTTTCTTCCACATATATTTCACCATCTCTTAGCAACCAACCAACTCCTCCCACCAGCTGGACGAATGGATTCTCTTTTTGCAAGACATCCTCTTCTGATAAATACCTATGGGTAAGTTGAACAAAATCAAAACAATAGATGGGGGATTACTTTCTAATATCCTGTTACATAAGACATTTTAATATTCACTCATGATGTTTCCAATAAATTTCATCCAGAGTTATACAGTGGTGGAAGTCAGGCCGGGCCGGGTCCCAGTATTTTTCCAGTTTGGTCTTCCAGTCCGGTTCCGGGCCAGTGTTGGTCGGAGTTTGTATTTGCGAAGACTAAAAACAGATCCCGGACGAAATTGTATTAAAACGCAATCATGATTAGCGGCAGACGCGAGTATTTTTATATTTTTAAATCCCTTCTAACGTTAATTTAGTTCCTTAATTAGAGCTTACAATGTCAATATATTTCAAGTCCTTTTCAGTCAAATCCATTAATTGTTGATTTAAATGACACATCAATATCTTATCAAACTATGATTGTACATGTACATCAGGCCATTCTAGAGAAATATGAAATGTAAGTGAAATGGGAATATTTTGATTAGCTCAATGCTTGTAAACATCTCTGTTGGTTTCAATCTTTTTGATGAATATATCCAGAATTAAGTCTCATATAAATAAATCTCACCCAAACACCAGCGTCCCATCAGCCCTGATACCAAAATGAGCATTCTGCAATCCTCCATTTGTTTGGACAAGCCTTCCATTGCTCACAACGTTTCCATAGCAATCCCCGCTTCTTGTGTTGAAATATCCGGCATTGACGGCCACTAGGCAGTTCTCCTGCTTTGCAGAGGTATCAACGGTGGCCCTGTGATGATTGGTGCAACCTCCTGAATCAAAGGGCTCCAGGACTGAGACTGTCCTGGCAGGACTCTTTACCCACACGATGTGTCCCGGAGCTCGCTCTCCAAATGGGAGGTCATCGTAAAAGTAGTTCAGATCGGTTATGGGGTAGGGAACCCTTCCGTTCTGGTCCCAGTCGTGCGCTTTCTGCGTGTGATGAGTCACGTTGTCATACTTGATCGGTTGACAATCCCGTATCTGTCGATGGGAGCGTGGGGAGCCATGTTCGCCAAACTCATATGGTGTAACCACATCTTCACTGGGGGACCTGTAATAGACACAGGCTTACAAAATTTCATACGGCTTGTAATGAAAATATACTATATTGAAATACATTTCCAACAATGTTCTAAATGTTATAAATTTCCCATAAATGAATGGATCTATTGCATCAGAATCAGAAAAATCATGTACTGGTAATTAGAAAAAAATTAAAAGAATCATAAAAATTAAGATTTCTCATTGTTTCTCAGCTCTGTAGAGCCAGAAAGAAATCTGTTATGAATGAAATGCCATTGTTTGGGTCCAGCCATTGTCATACAATGCAAGAGGTCGAATTGTAAATGGGGGGGGGGGGGGTTCCTACAATGCATGAGTTGGAACTGTAACAATGTGAAATATGATATTGATATCACCTATCCTTAATTAACTTCATAGTCCTAGCATCATCTTCCTATTCTTCATCAACTAACAGCACACACTGTAAGAAGCATCCTTCACAACATCCATTCTCAATCTCAGTCAGCTTGCTTCGGAAGCAGTTTAATATCTGCCAATTCCAACTTCAACTCAAGACACATAGGAACTGCTATCAGGATGCTGAAAACAAGAGAACCTCATGCCTGAGCACATGATTCTATCTATCTCCTCCTCTACAATGCCTGCCTCAAACCGCCCACATTGGATTGATTTTCTTTGCCGATGGTGTCACCCTGCAAAATGGAAGATATCATTCATTCTCACTATCATTTAATACAGGGGTGGTATTCTGAAAGTATGTCATGATTTATGATGAACAATCAAAAGTAAGACATGCTAATGTTTTAGTGTCTGCACAAAAGCTGGCTGTGTTTGCCTGAAGTTTTCTATGTTAAGCACTAGCACTATTAAGCACCATTGATACATGTAAGTTTTAATTCCTCTAAAATTAAGTGCATCCCAGCATACAAGCATTACTGGCTGCATCATATCAAGGAGCTGAAAGTAAAGTGCTACGGGAAGGATTAACAAGCCGCCCCCATCCCCCTAAAAAACAGTGTAAGACAGGGCAGTATCCTCTCCCCAGTCAGTGGGTGCTCAAAATAGCCCAGTACAGTAAGGGTTAATGTGAGGTAACATGATGTGAATGATCGTAACAAACTTAAGTTTAAGAGGAATTAAAACTTATCAATGGTGCTTACATAGAAACTTCAGGCAAACACAGCCAGCTTTGTGCAGACATTAAAACAATGGCAAGTCTTAATTTTGATTTTTCATCATAAATCATGACATACTTTCAGAATACCACCCCTGCAGTGAGAATGAATGATATCTTAGATGAACTAATCAAAATCCTCCTGGCTGGCTTAGCTGCACATTCCATCAGAGATACTCTGGAGTGATTTTCTTTGCCGATGATGTCACCCTGTTGGCCAACTCCCCAGGTGAACTTCAGATTTCAGCAAATGCTTTCCATCAACCACCACTATGCTACGAAATGAAAATACAACCAATCCAACCAAGAGTGTAATCCTGGCAATCAACTACAAAAAGATCCCCAAAGAAGAGAGGAAGACCATATGGAAGTGGTCTGAAGATCAAGTCATCCCAGAAGTGCCTCACTATATTATACAGAGCTGGCAACCATTTTGTTTTTCCAGGAAATACTCTGTTTTTTCCTCCAAATTACAGTATTACGTTTTTTCTTCATAAAATACGTTTTTTGAATAATTTTTTATAATTTTTTTTTTACATAGTTACCGCACATCAAACAACTGCCCTAAAATGTTATTTTGATCACAAATTCAATAGAAAACTATTGTTAAAACATACTTGAAGAGAAAAATATTCTCAAAAAGAATGAAACGCCGATAATACAAAAATAACAACAACAAAATACCTAGAAGTCTAAATAAACTATAGGTCCTAATATGGAAAAACCAGCATAAGGAATAGACATTTCTGCATTGGAAGTTTGTCATGCGTGGTTGTAAGTTCCATTTTAATAAATTCCTTTTTGTTGCTTAAAATTCCTTTTTTTTGTTGCCATCATGCCCAGTGCCCACACATAGGTGCATTACTATCCTGGCTGTGTAGTAAAAGCTGTGCTTTTGATTCTCAACATTTCAAACACCACTGTACAAAACTCAACTGATTTCACTCAAAATCGGTACTTTAAAGGCACACTGTACTACTTGTAGCTACTTGCTCCCTCTATATAGAAGACTTCCCAAATCGGTGCCTGTTGGTCCCCCATGATCCTCTTTTTCTTATGTTAAATGAGAGCTGAGTTAATGAGATAGCCACCTGTCACAGTGACCTCGATGGCTCACTGGGTGGTCTAATCCCTTCTAGCTGAAGTAGTAAAGCCTCCCTTTAATTTAGTGACAATTGATGACACCTAAATAGCAGTAAAATACATTTTGTTCAACTTACTGATGTTAAAAAGAATAATTAAAAAATTCAAATTGTAAGTCTAGTGTCAAATTTGCCGATCGGCCCAAACGGTCCTATTGTGTGCAGTCAATACAATATTGTGTGGTGTGTATATTTGTGTATAATACCTGCCTCACAGCAAGTAGGCCTATGTAGTGCTAGAGGTCAATACGCATTAGCATTGACTCTCTTAGACGGAAACAACCGTCCAATATCATGGATCATTTCTTTAATAAAACTGACATTTGTTGACATTCCCCATAAATAGAGGCGGTCAGAGGAGCCAGATGCAATCTCAGCGGAACAACCGTCGATATCAGAGACTGAAGCTTTCGGTCTATGACTCTCTATGCTTTACTGGAGTGATCATGCCATGCCCATGGTTCCTTTTTTTGGTCGTCCAAGGTTGGCAGCTCCGACACCCGTCTGGGCATTATCATGCACAAGACATCATTGCTACAACTACAGGACTCGAAAGTCAAAACCTTCTTCTCACTTCATGGAGCAGGAACTCACTATTTTTTTCTTTCTTTTGGAAAATGAAAAAGTGATGACCAACATACACAGTTATCAAGGTCTGGGGCTACATCCCCCAAACTTGTTATCATTTCTTTTATTTAGTACTACTATGGTATGTACTCGACAGGATCGATCTATATATTAGTCAGGATATGAAATTAAGGTGGGAATGTCTGGCAAGGTGCTCTTGGCATGTGCAGTGCAGCAGTTGGTGCTGTGCAATTAAAAAGTAAAAACTAGTAGATCTAGAGTCTAACAAATTTCAATAGACTAGTCTAATTATATTATTATTTATTAACACTATTGTTGGGTCTATAGTCCGGTCTATGCCTTGACTAAGGTGCAAAGTTGAATAAATTGTGCTCAGAATGATACCTACCACCCATCTGTAAACGCTTCTGAGCATATCAAACACAAAAATAGGGTGAAAACTGTTGTCCAGCATGACAAAATACCCATAGCACCTTCCCCGAAAGTTCTGGCGTTGGTCTCCTCCATGCTCCTGTAGGTACACTGTATACGTACACGTACACGACGTGATCGTGACCCGAGCGAGCGATGTAAATTTCTGCTGGTACTTGTAGTGTTGTGCACATGTGACTGAATCGGATCGGGGGCGGGGCGGGGCGGGGGGGGGGGGGGGGGGGGAGGGGGGGGGGGGAGATTAGAGGGGTCATAGGAGCAGGTCCCTCATCCAAATTGTGCCCACGAGCACGCTATGGGTAATTTCTTGCCTGTCAAAAACTTTTCAAAGATCAAACTGCAAGTAAGTATCTTAGAAACTGGGATTATTTTTTACTTTTATTTATCTATTGTATGGCATAGTGGGCATCACCATTATAGAGTTTAGCCTAGACCTCTAGCTATAATATTTGCGATACGGTCTTTTACCTAGCATTCTTGCCTTTCTTGGAAGATTTTGAATTAATATTTGTTCTGCCTCCACAAAGAAAATGGACTCTCTCCGATGATACGCTTATAGTCAGCCTATACGGACAGCAGATTAAGGGGGGAAGGGGGGCACAGAACATATTTTCAGTTCTGGGGGAGGGGCGCAGCGCCCCACTATGATCGAGAAGAGATCCTATTTCAGAACTGCACAATCAAAGAAACCAGGAATATATTGAAAGTGTCCAATGATGACTACACTATAGGTGAATAGATCAGTGCAAAATTATCCGTACAAAAATTTGCCCCCAAAATATGCTGATTTGTTTGTATGAAAGCAATGCAGAAATTAAGATATGATTTCAATACTTACTAAATACCGCCCATATCTGTTTGACTAATATTTCACTTTTTTGTCTTCAAGTTTATTTGATGATAATGCTTGTTTCAAAATATGTTTTATCAAGAAGTATTCAAAAGAGTTGCCCGTAAATAAAAAGGCACTCGGAAATACATATTCCTCAAAGGTGCGTCTGTGACAGAAAGCACGAGGAAGCATTTTTCAATTTATGATTATAATAACTTGGGCACATATATATTATGACTATTTCTTTGGGTTGAACTGAAAATGCAACTTTTCATTCTATCGACGCACTTTGCGAGGGAGTGCAGCGACCGAGCAAGTAATTCGCGTCGTTTTAACATTTTTAATTAAACAGACATATTTAAAGGTACTATGTCCCTTTTGCAGCCAACCTCAAATGCTGTAGAACTTTACAGGAATTATGAATATGTCATGTATGTCATATCTGTGAAATTTAAACGTTAGCAGTGTCCTCATATTCAAATTATGCAAGGAAAACCGTTTACTTGCTAGACTTCACTGTCAGACACTATTGAGTGACTGACTGGCTTTTTTTCTTCTTTGGTAATAACATACATGAAAAGAGTTGTAAAGGGTACATGAGCATTTTGTCTACATCAATAACCCACTTCTTGTGATGGCCAAGATTAAACTGATTGAATCTTTGCGCAGCATAAAACGTTTGACCATTCGGTACAATTGTCTGAAAATCAACTATTACTTTTGGGCTCTATATATAGCCCTAAAGTCGATTTGACAACTAATAGTCATCATTTTCCCACTTGAAGACATTTTCAAGCCCCACCTTTTTTAGGGAAGTTCTAAATTAGTATTATCTTTCAAATGCAGTTGGATTTTAACTTTTTCATTTTTTTGGCCTGCAAATGGGACATAGTCCCTTTAAATCCTTTCTCCATCCTCTAAATTGGGTCAGACAGTTTTAAATCGTTAATTTAGAAACTTTTTTGGAGATTTCTAAATTTTGGAGGAGAAGGAGACGACCCCTTCTAATCAGATTTCCAGGGAGAGAGAGAGGGGGGGCACGGGGGGCACGTGCCCCCCCCCCCCATTTTTTTTTCCAAGATCGGTTGAACTTGTTTAGACCCCTCCCCAGGACGTCGATCAATTACATGTATGTGCCCCCCCCCCCCCCAAAAAAAAAAAAAAAAAAAAAAAAAAATCAAACTCTGGCTATACGGCCCTGGTCCAAGGGGAAATTGTTTTGTTGAATTTAGTCTTATTTTGGTCAAATCTCTTTTGAAGAAAAAAGTTTTGTTATGGTGGTGTTAATGATGCATGAAATGTAAATGCGCTACACAAGTCCGTTTTTATCACACAATAAAGGTAATACAAAGTTTTGGTATGGGGTCATGAATTTGGTTCAAATAAACATATTGGAAGCATATGCGATCCAACAATATTCAGTGATCATTGTCGCGGTTGAAATCGAGTCTTAAGTTATGAAATTGTAAATAATAAAATCTTTATGTTGTATAGCTCCCTCTCAAGGTCAATATATGAATTAAGCCATAAAACAATGTTTCTTGATTAAAATTGACCAATCGGTTATTCCCGTTTGAAAATAACATATCACAACAACATATTCTGAGATTTTCATGGTCGTAGCTACCATTGTACGGCCGTAAGCGCTATTTGGAATTTATCAACATTTAACGGGAGCACCGGTAAATTTTTATATTCAATTTTTCTCGAAAGTAAAAATGTTTCAGGGGCTAATTTTTTTAGTGCTTATAAAACATCCACAGGGGCATCCAAATATAACAAAATTGTAAAGAATTACTATCCTGCCAATTTTCAAAATTTCCCAAAACTTTGTATTACCTTTAATGGGATCCATGGCGGTAATATTGAACAGTGACTCAAACAGCATCCACTACGACCCTCAACTTCTTCTTCTAATCGCTTCATTATATCGGAAAAGGAAGTCATGTATAGGCGAGTGAGTACAGACTGAGAAGCCCCTCGTTAAAATTTGGAAAGAAGGTAAGAAGAATTCATAAAAAGAAGAAGTAGGAAGAAAAATGTGCAGAGAAAAACAGGGGAAAGAAGAGGAATTAGTCGAGAAAGTACAATGGAACACAAAGACACTAAAAACAGACGAATTTAAACCCAGTAAATAGAACCAGAACACTGCGTCTAGTTCAAAATCGGGTCATCCCAGTAGACCGACAGCCCACGATACCGATAAAACAGAGATATAAATAAGGGAAGATATAAGAATGTCGTTCTTGTGGGCGATTTGTCTCATGGGCTGTTGCCTCATAATCACAAGTGCCATCGTCTTTGACACCGTGTCTAGGCCTATACTGCGGTCCGAGTGGTGTTCCACCGTACCATGCGTTCCCCCCCCCCCCCCCCCCCCCCCCCCCCCACCCCCCCCCCCCCCCCCCCACACACATCTCTCTCTCTCTCTCTCTCTCTCTCTCTCTCTCCCCTCTCTCTCTCTTTTTTTTTCTCTTTCTCCCTCTCTCTCGTTCTCTCATGACGGTCTTTAATAATTCGGTTTGATGAAGTCCACGACATATCAATGATTAGTCGAACCTACCCAGTCCAAAGGTCCACTAATGCAAACAAAACCTTAACGTCATCCGTTGATGATTTAACTTATTAATGATTAAGATACAAGCAAGCTTACACCATTAAGAGTGTATACTAATTATACACATCTTGAGTCATCTCATAAAGAAAGGACCATTCCAACATACCGTTTTGGAGAAATACAACAATGTTATTTTTTAACAATTGAAGTAAAAGGTATTCAATGGAAACTCTGAGGCACACGGTATAAAAAAGAAGCTACTAACAAACTGGTTCGTTTAATTGAGGATCCAAGACATCATAACCGAAAAACAGTTCCTTTGTTGTGGATACTGCTCTAAACTGGTCTGATATTGCACGTACAAGCCCGAACGCGGAACAGATTTGGAAAATCTTATTCTGGGGGGAATTCAGTACAATAGAAGGATTCAGAGAGTACCTAAACACGAGAAAAAACATCATGACGAGGCTCAGGATGTTATGGACTTTCTTGATGATTTTTGCACCAGCCATCGCCCAAGTTGGTAAGTATAGATTAGTAGGAACTGCAACGAATTAAAGAAAAGGTCTGAGATTCGTAAGATGTATCGATAGTATCCACAAGTTACATCTATAATAACGTACATAGCACAATAAATGCTGCTATCGTCAGAAAGTTTGTGATTGAAACTAACTCAACATGAAATCTGAAATACATGCACCATGCTTAGAATATTGTCAAATATGAATATATTTCCAGATAAATAAAAGGAAAATGGAAGCATATACAAGAGAATAACTTAGCATGATGAATTAAGATATATTAGGGAAAATATGCTTTGCCTAATTGCTTGGCAACGACAACAGCACCATGGCGCCTAAATCACAGTATTAGGCGCGTTACAAAATAAATGTGCATTATCATTATAGTTATTATTACGACTACTACTAGTACTATTACTAATTTACTAATGCTACTGCTACTACTACTATTTGTATTGTTATTATTATTATTATTATTGATGTCATTATCAATATTATCGTTATTATTATTATTATAATTACTGTCACTATCATTATCATTGTTATTATTACTTGTATTGTTATTTTTTATTTATCATTATTTGCAATGTTATTATTATTGGTATTATTATTATTATTATAATTGTTATCATTATTGTTACTATTATCGTTATTATTATCATTATTATTACTACTACTATTATTATCGTTATCATTGTTATCGTTATAATTAACATAATTATTAACATGATGATCGTCATCACCATCGTCATCATCATCATCATCATCATTGTTATCGTCGTTAGAATGGAGTTTGTTCAAATTTTATTTAAAAAATATCTGAAAATTTATTATTTGTCCAAATACTGACTTAAAACATAAACATATTTTACACTATGCTGTTCCACTGGCTTATTTATTACACATTGTTTGTTTTTAATTTGTTTACAAGTTAGTAACAGAATAAGTTGAAAAAACACCAAATGATAATTTTATTCTTTTAGGGAAGTTATTTGACATTTTGCCCTTATTTTAGTTCCCCTTTCTCATTTTCAACTGGTAAATTTGGTCTCTTTTGATTTTGATACTGTTAACGTGTATTATTGCATGTATTTTTAAAATTTATGTATGTATAATATTGAATGATCTATTATTTTTATATGAAGATGAAAATAAATGAACAAATGAAAGTTTGGTATTGTAAAGACAAAACAATTTACCGTAGAAAGATGAAGAACAGTTTTCATATATTTCCCTTAACGTTCTTTATC